CTTAACATTGCCAGCAAAATGTTTGTGCGACACATTGCAAATTTAGTAGATCCTTCGCTACTACAGTTTTGCACTTTAAGGACAAATTTTAATTTATGTTTGAATCACTGAATTATGGATAAATCATTGGATTCTGGTGTTGGGCCTTGTGCCCAGTACTCCCTGGGACAGGCTCTGGGCAACAGCAAATTGGATAAATGGTTATTGAAAATGTTAAAAGGCAATTCTGTTGGCAACAAAAAAAAAAACTATCCACTTTTTCTATTATTTGTAGTGTTCGGAATAAAATCAATGTTATCATGTGATGTTTAAAGCTGTTGGGGGGCCTTTCCCTGATGTTTACTAAAAGTTAGTCAACAAATTATTCTGTGAAAAGGATCCTTTTAAAATTATTGGTGGAATTTTCTGCCTTTCTTTCTCATTTTCAGTTTTCTCATTCTGTTTAATTTTCTGTGCTCTGTTTTTATTTACATTCTATGAAGTTATAATCTCTTTGCTGATCAGGAGTAGGAGTTAATCCAGAGTATAAAATCAGGGATTAGTTATGCACTTATTTTAAGGAATATTTCATAATGCAAAGTGACAGCACTTAGACAAATTCCTAATGCAAGAAACTGTATATGGCCAAAAAAGTGATCTTATCTTATAATGTAGGGTTAAGACATTATAACCACATGAAATAAAAACAGTGAGCTCCAGTTTTATTGTCTTCATTTTTCAGTTATATTTATTAGAATTTGCTCAAGTTAGTCACAGGTCGGGGATTCTGTAAAGCAGTTATCTTTATAATTTGAAACACAGTTCAGTCATATTTCAATTTTTTGTAATTTGAACATTCCCAGCAGTGTTATTTATTAGGGGCTATTGCAGCTGCCAAGAACATGTGGGGTCCTCTTCCTCTCCCTGAGGAATGAGAGGGTGGCAAATCTTTGGCTTAGACTTTGGGCCTGTAAATCTCACAGTTTAAGGAAAGACAAAACCTCAGCAGCTCTGAAAATGTCTTTCAAGAAAGCTGAGTAGAGCTGACAGTACAGAGCATTGCCAGTGTAAGGCCAGCTGTTCTGATCAGCCACTAGAAACACTCGGGAGTGTGGTGCATTAAGAGTCTCCCACGTGGGAGTCATGTAGCTTTTGAAAGCAATTCAAAAGCTGTTTTCTACAGCTCCTCTCTATCTGTAAATGGAGCATCATTGCATTTTACATCTTCAGGACAAATGTCAAATATTATAGAGATTCATCAAATGAAGGTTAACGATTAGCTGTATAAACACAGTGGTCTCTGGCTTTTTCAGAGTGCTCTCTCTGCGTGGAGGCCTCCCTCGGCTTGAGCATCTTAACCTCTCTGGTTGCCTCTTCATCACTGAGGTGGGACTACAAGATCTCGTGTCAGCCTGCCCCTCTCTGAATGATGAGCATTTTTACTATTGTGACAACATTAACGGTAAGCAGCCAGTTAGAGCAATTTTTATCTTTACTTTGCAAAGCAGGTTCAGAGGCTTTTGTTTTAATATGGTTGCATTCAGGGCCAGAGTTTGGTGTTCGTAGGCCTTGGGCACGTTCACTCCAAAATGTGCAAAAAAAGGGGGGTAAACGCCCATTGAATTGCGTCGATTGACATGTAGCACTCTAAACTGTTCTAATGCTAAACCACATGATGGAGTCAAGCGACCATCACTTTGATACTTCTAGTTTCTAGAACAGCCGCTAGATAGTGTATGATTGTTGATTTGGAGCAAGCATTTTGTTTCAGCTCATTTTTCGTTAGTCACTAGTGAAACTAAAACTTTCGTAGGTTCGCATTAATGTTTGGGATTATTTTCATTAAGTAACATCTAAATAGTTTTTAAATCTTTTGAAAGAGCACTTGTTTTACAGCCTTGTAACAACATGGAAGCACTTAATTTTGGGGATACAATATTAACATTAACATATTTAACAAAAATATTTTTCAAGGTTTCATGTGAAGCCCCTCATAGTATCATTCATATACCAGTGCTAAGCACAGAGAAATATGTAGTACTTTGCTAAAGCAGTTGGATGATATTGGTGTTGTATACTTCATCTGTGGACTGTAATATAATTTAGTAAACTAAATAGATTGTGCAAGTCAAAACTCATTACTTTAGCATTCCTTTTTTCTAACTACAGATGTGAATGTGAATTACTTGCATTAATGAAAACTGAAATATTGTTAATAATCTTTAATTTCATAACGGTGTAATGATTTATGCTATTTTAATACTAGATAAAAAGAAAGCTTTAAATGTTTAATTTGTCCTTCTGCTAACCTCACTCATTCCTTTGTACAAGTTTATTTCTACAATATAAACCTAAGTGCCTTATTTAAGAACCCATTTGAAGACCTGTAACCCTGAAGATTTAAGGTAAGTAGTAATAGGCAAGAGTGAGATGATAATCCCATATACAGACACAGTTGTGAGAAAACGTTTGTGAACACCTGACTCAATGATTGGAATACCGAACTCCAATTACCCTCTTTTCTAGATGTCATTGTCCAAGAGGTTCACATACTTTTTCCATCAGTTACCTGATTTGTTTATTTATTTGTTCAATAAAGATATGAAAATGTAAAGTGTTGTTTGTTAGATAAGACTCATTATTTTTTATGACTTAGCTGAATTCCAAAGGGTTCACAATTTTTTTTTTCTCACAACTAAGGTTAACACTATGGGTCAGGGTTATTTATTATCACGATATATTTGTTCTGAGTTACGTGTTATTTTTGGAAAATGAAACTGTTGGAACTGTTTGCAGGTTATTTACTAGACTTGGTGTGCTTGGATATCATGGTAATTCAATAGTTTGTATTTACACTTTCTTAAAATGCCCTCAAAATTGTGACAGAATAATTTGTTTCATAATATTGTAAGATGGCAAAAGCAACAATGCTTTAAAGTTGAATAAACAAATTAGTCTGTACTGAGTACTTGAATTTTATAGGCATTGGGGAAGGGCTGCATATTATTTTCTATCCTTGCATAGACAGTATTGTTATGAAATATTTTAAGATTACATCAAGTTTATTTTGTATTACACATAAGTACCAAATAACTTTAGTACTCTGTTCATAAACTATAGTGTGTTCATACTATTTTGTAGTCTGAATCATGATGGTATCTCTAATAAGGCTCTTAACTGCATGGGGAAAAATTCCATTGCCCTTATTATACTGTTCCTAATGTTTGATTTATCAAAACCGATATTCAGTGTTTTTCATAATGTTCTTGTATGGAACATTATAGATGTTCAAGCAATATAATATTGAAGTTAAAATGCTAAAAGTGGTTAATATATCCATTGATGTTGGGTAAATTAGATATATATATATAATTATCTTATACCTGAAGAAAGTGACTGGTGATTATGCAAGCCAGATGGGGATTTTTTTAAAACAAACATTACTTCAGGATTTGTAGAGAAGGGAACTGCATGATTGTATTAAAATCATGATCTACCTTTTGTGTCTTTCCCAGGTCCCCACGCTGATACTGCAAGTGGATGTCAGAATCTGCAGTGTGGTTTCAGGGCATGCTGTCGTTCTGGAGAGTGAACTCACTCTTGCCCTTCCTAACTGTATGCTTTGTGTAGCTGAGCCTGCTTCCCTACCTGCACTTTACATTAGGAATACAAATCATTGTACCTTCTTTTACCGTAATTGTTTTATATTGATACATGAAAAGGGTTATCCTCAAATCACTTCAAAGTAGAGCCTTTCCAGCTCTGTTTTGAAAAATATATTTAGAAAAATGATTAGTTACTTGAGGTCTTATGTTTATTTCAGCTCACATGTAAAGGGCATGATAGATGTCTTTGTTCTCACAAGGTATATCCTCATTTATCCCTTTGGGTTAGAAATGAACCTTTGCTGCCAGGGGCCATAGGATGTTGATGTTTTGTGCCTAAGGCATATCATTAGCTGTTACCACAGCTCCTCAAACCATGATGCTGACAGCATATGGTCAATTTAAGTCAGCCAGGACACTCATAGTCACTTTGATAAAAGTGACACCTGTGACTGGCTGGGCACCCTCATGCTTGCAGTGATGTCAAGTGATGGAGGTATCCCTTACTGCATGGGGTACTATTTACAGTTCTCATGCAGTATGTGATTCATAGCCACTAAAAGTTTTAAAGTTCTCTTTCAAAAAAACCCCAAAAAACAGGTGATTCCCAATTGGTTGGGAAAGTCAAAGCTTTGTGACTTTGAGGAAATACATTTTATAATAATGGTATGTGTTTCTGCTTAAATGAACTGTTAAATCTGAAACCGTTTAGGATACTTACATTTACTGTCTTGGTTTGAAAAGTATAGCAGTTGGTTATTGACATCTATTAAAGTACAGTAGATGACTAATAACTAGATGTCTTATCCGTTCATTACCAAAGTAAAGGGCACACAAATTTATTTAAATCATATCTGGCAACTAGAAATAAAAGTTTATACATTCTCTACCTAGTCACATCTTGTGGATTAGAAATATTATTCTTATATTTTACATTTTCACATTCCTTACAGTAGCATTTATTTAGGAAAAATGAGAACTTCTCCATTATTCTCAGATAGTATCCTAATGCAAGACCTGCTATAAGGAGGGAATACATTTTTGCACATGTACATTGCCTGGTAATAAAGGTTCATCAGACAAAATTTGATTTATCTGAATATTTATTCAATAAAGAAAAATCACTTTACCAAGAGAAATTTGAGTTGGATTGTTGATGAATCTGGGTAGTATTTCTTTTCCAAAACAGTTTTTTTTAAATAAGAATTATTCTGTTCAATTGTTATAATTAAACATTTTTAATTTCCAGAAACTACAGCAGTTGAAGTTCATTTGGAAAAATGTAGATTTCACTGTTGCTTCTTTGTTGTTGCTTACAATTTTATAGGGAGGTTTTTTCAGTTGCAGCACATGGATTTTGTTTTTTTTAAATCTTTCAGAAAAGCCGATTTATATTGGTGAAAAAGTCATGTTTGAATGAAAGTCTAAATTCTACAAATTGAGCTCAGAAGAATTATAAAGCCTGAACAGTTTGTCCACTAAAGTAAAATTTTAAATAAAGCTTTAAAGTAATCCATGTAATTATTCAAAGCTTTAGTGGCTGATTCCCAAAGCCCAGAACTGGTATTGCAGAATTGACATATAAAGTGATGGGTAAATTAGTTTCTTATCTAACTTGAGGACTGTATGCTTTAAAAAAAGTACTGAAACTCTAATTTGAATTTCATTTGTGTGGTAGGAGCCCAGTATTTCACAATTCAAAATAATTAGCACACATTTGTTGGAATCCTTTGAAATATTTTGCATGATGATTTCTGTTGAGTGTAATTTAATCCAGAAATGAGTAAAACTGAGGCTTGGTTAAGGATCTCTGTGTACTGTCTTCTGTGTTGACTTTTGAAAGATGACTCGTTTCCAGATGTGAGGAAGTCCAGGAACACCTGACACCTGAAGAAGGCTCCACAGACAAAACTTTGTGCCTCTTTTTCTTTTCAGCACTGAAGAAACCTGTTTGATACAGCTACCTACTTGAACTTCTTACATAAGATGATAGTTTAGATTCTTCTACAACCCATTGAAATTTAAGACCAATATATCCAAGGACTTTAAACATGAAAGTGACAATAGTATTACAGGTTGATGTTTCATTTATACAAAATCATTTATAAAAGATATTTTCTAAAAATTATTTCAGAGTTATTTTGATGTTTACATTCAAGCAGTATACTGTCATGCTAAAAGCTATTTTATGTAGGTTATATGAAAGTGAAAAGAATAGTAACCATTTTCAAGTAGTTACGTATACAGAAACTAGTGTAACAGACTTCTTGGCTATCATCGTACTGAAAATTTCACCCAAGGATTTTATTCTTGGACTATGTTTTGAGGCAAGTCTTTAAATTATTGAAAGTGATAATCCATAACTTTTTTTGGAGGTGGACTGAAATGTTTTCATGTACTTCCAGTGCATTGTGCCCTCAAAGGTGCTGCATTGAATAATTTTTGATGACGGCTTAAGAATTTTGCATGTATAGGCCTAGTGGCTTTTAAATACAATAGCACTTTTAAGCAAGTGTTGCTACTGAACTGAAATCGGACATTAATGCACTCAAATATGTTCTATCAGACCTTAAGCATACTATACAGAACGTCTGAGCACAGTGAACCACACATTTAATGCAGATAAATTTACTTAAATTGAACGTGTCCAGATAACACGATTACAAAATTACTGAGTTGATCAAAAAATGTTTTTCTAACTCAATTTAACTGTTTGAAATTACACAAAAATAAAACATACTGTAACACATGAATCACATGATCACAATATTAATACTTTTTAAAGTACTCCATAATATAAAATAAACAGAAAATGTTAATAAAAATGAATTCATCTTAATATCTTAAAATGAATGAAAGCTTTGTAAATGTGCAGCTTATATTCACACTTTTCTATATTGTAAAAAAAAGTAGTGATGGATTTTTCTACTGATCTTAAAATACTTGAAAATAAAATCTGAAGAAAATCAATACAACATTTTAATTTCCTTAATATGATGTTTTTAGAAAAAGCAGTTTCAAAAATTAGAAATTAGTGTTGGAGCAAAATACTCCTATCATTTTTAAACGTGAGGATAGAAATTCAGCTGTAGCCAGGAACTGTCAGTTATACTGTGTCTAAGCCACTATCAAGGCTCAAGTACACATCAACAATTAGGAATGTCACCAAATACATTAATCTTTTCTTGACAATACTTTATCGAATGGACAATCGGGCAAAATAAAAGAAAATACCTTCTCCTAATGTGAAAGAAAACACTGAACTGAATGACAGGCTAGGCTGTCATCTTTCAAGATGCAATTGTCAGCACTTTCAAAATGATCCTGGCTTATCAGGTGTGGGCCGAGTTGCTGCTGACCATTTACAGTATCATTGCCCTCAGCTACAGTACACCTTCATTCACATTGATGTAAAAAAAAAAAAGGTATGGTCTTACTTTGGTCCACCATTGTATTCAGCACATCAAAAGAAAAGGTTTATTTTGTGGAATTAATACTGATTATTATTTCATAGGAATGTATGTACTGTACAGTATATGCTTTAGGACAGCTTTAAAAGAATGCTGTAATTTCAGAATATTAATCGGATATAATTCCTCCCATCATTTTAAATCTTAAATCTAAAATTTGACTTTAAACATGTTTTTCACATCATTCAAAAAATGCATACAACAGTCTTTGGATAAAAAGTGCATTAATTTCTCATTAAATCCCATGAATTAGTACAGAGTGGAATCTTTAGAAAACTATCTGGTCCGGATAAGAGAAGCAACATACACCCACACCGAGAGGACGTTGTTTGGATACGGATGGACATAAACAGCCAAAGCAAATTCCACATTTGATACTTCAATGTTATGAACTCCAGTACTATATACAGCTTCAATTATGGGTCTTATTTCAGAGAAGGGCATGTGCACTGGAAATCCAGATATCTAAAACAAAACAAGAAAAGTTTTAGCTTTATGTGAAAATAATTCAATTTGTATGTATGTGAAGTTATTTTTAAATCCTGACATTTAGGCAAGGACAGGTTTTATTAGAACAAAATGCTGCATGCTGAATTGCAGTTATTTGAATTATTGTACTGTAATTGTTGGAATAATGAGAGTCCATCAAGGCTATACTTCATTAGACAGGCTGGAAGAGTTTGGGCTGAATGGGGGAGCAGCACATCTCTCCACAGCCTTCTGCCCCAGAATTTCAACAGCTCTCTATTGCACCAAATACAGAGAACTTAACCAGATGAGCACCACTACTTGGAAATTTCTGGTCAGTCAGCTAATGTAGTTCAGACTAAGATGAAGGGAAGTGCTGTAGCGCTCTGTATTTTTTATTGAAAACCATACAACTTTCTAAAGATGGGGCTTGACTCACCCTATAGTCTCCCAACAGGCTCTGCAGTTCCATCCTGTGCTCGTCACCCACATCTTTACCTCCACTCAGCTCCAGTTTGGGCAGGAAGTGCCTCAGTGTGGAGGTGCAATACCTGTTCCAACGAGTCGGCTGTCGTGGACGCCACTCCATTATCTTTTCTCTCAGAATCTTCTCAATCCTGTAAAGGGCAGCTTAAGTGAGTTTTTTTGTCAAAAATGCTTGATAAAAAAAAAAGATTTTTGTTATGCAGGGCTTACCTGTCTTGCAGTTCTGCTGCAGCAGCTTTGTCTGCCTTGTGATATACAAGTTCCTCAGGCTATTCAAAGAAAGCAGTAAAGTTAAAAAACATACTGTAGATAGTGTGCCTACTATCTGTCTAGTAAATCTAAAAGCACAAATTTAAAGAGTTGTTTTAAGGAATATACTGTATAGGTTTGCATTTTTATGTAAAATATAGCCACTGTACTATGTTTAGTTTAACTGAAAATCTGACTGGTTGGTCATTTTTTACTAATCCTATTGCTGCCAGCGCATACTGACCCCTTTATGAATGAAGGAATAATTGAAAATGGATGGACTTCCCAGGGATTCTAAGCTGCCATTTGTCAGTTAGACCCTCATCTAAAAACATATAAAACATTTGCCCAATTTCAGTGCTCAGTGTGAAGAAAATAATTGTAAAATGATGTATACATGTTGAATTCTGAATACAGAGTAAAAAGGAAAACTCCATACTAGACAAGCAGCAGCTCAGAGTTCATCCTAATTTCTGTAGTGTGAAGTTGACTAGAGAGCACATGACTCCCCTCTGGAAGACATACCAGTCCATCATAGGGATTACCTCCCAGCAATGCTGGTCCTCACTTATACAACTGGAACAACTGGTATAAAGAACCTCCATCAAATGTACAATGACAGTATGTACAGCAGGGACTACAACACACAACCTGTCACTTGTGGGAGTCCAATTACTTACTCATGATGCTATGTCACCCTCTACTGTATACAGAATAGTTTTCTTCACATCAAAGTATTGAAAATCCCTAAAGCAAGTTAATAAAATTAGAATTCTACCCTTGTTCAGGTATAAATTGCATAATTTGATTATCTTAACTGAAAAGTGCATTGATTTTATTCTAGGGTAAGGATATAGTTATTTATATATATACAGTATATAACAGGCAGCATGCCTCACCTGAATGCTGGACAGGCCTGGATGTGAAAAGCTTCTTGAAAAGAATGGCCTCCACAATTTGGATTTAGTGATGTCAAAACTTATTCTCATGGGAGCATCATATTGTTGAATATTAAACCACACCTTAAAAACAAAGTATTTTGACAGATTCCAAATTGAATAATTAGCAATGTTTTACTTTTTCTGTTTGTGAATTACATTCTATAACCGCCTGCTTTAAAGTTTTCGTGAAATGGGTCACTTATTAAACGCTGCAGGTGTTGCTATGTTGTCCAGAGCCAAAATCGCCCTGCTCGGCTAATCCCACTTTATCCTTAGTAGTGCTCGGCCACAGGAGTGCTGACTCTTGCGAAATCTTATCTGTCAGCTCTTACCATGAGTCAGGCTAAAACCTGTGACAACTAGATCATAGAGCTCAACTGAGGTTGAGGCTCAATGTGTTGGCCCCAGTACATTTAAATTAAAAGAAATTTTAGACATAAATAAAACTCACTGTAATTCGAGATTTCCTAAATTAGAAACTCTTTGAATTTTTTCAAGTTTAAAAAAACTTTTAAAAATGTGTAAAAAACTAATCAAGTGGTAAAAGACTTCCAATTATTCAAATTAAACCTATAAAGTAAAAATGTAGTTAAAAACTGAATCACTGTTCATAAATAATCAAGTCTGAAGAATCCTGTATATACACTCACATTGTCAGCATTCACAAGGCACCCCACACTTTGCAGTGGGCAGAAGGTATCAAATTGACCATAATATTGGCCTTTGCTAGGGTTCCAAATAACATATCGACTTTGTTCATAAGTCAGTACATAAGCAGTCGTCCCCTATATAGAAATAAGACAAGCACACAAAACAAAAGATGACACAAACAGTGCACGTACTTTCTCAAAACAATATGTACAATATGATAGTTACAGAATTTTTTAGCACCTGCTGTATACTGTATACTCAAAGCTTTATGAAAACAAGGGTCATTGGTCATAATGTACAAAGATCTTAAAAAATACAAAAAAGGACTGTAAGATGACCCATTAATTTGGTGTCAGACATTCAGTAATTAAGATATAGTCTACTACCTTCATAAAAAAGAAACTTTTGTAAAATAAATCTTTTGTAAAATATAAACGTAAGTGTGCACTTGAGTAATGTTGTCTAAAATTAATTTAATATCAGCATTTAATATCAATGCTCAGATAGTATATTTTAGAATTTTAGTAAAACTAAAAACTCAAATTCCACCCAGCAAAAAGTGGCACTTCTTGTAAATGTTGAAAACCTATAGTAATCTAACAGCTGTTTTACCTCAGGAATAGCAGTTCCAATGATAAGCCAAGATTTCTTGCCCATTGCCAGAAAATAATTGCACAGCAAGACTGCATGCTCTTCTTCATCTCCTGCCAAAAGGTCTAGGAATTGCTACAACAACAAAAAAAATTAAAATTATGCACACTGTACATGTATTCATCCATCAGCTCAAGAATCCACATGATATCGCTATTTTCATTCACACATCTGACACATTTCTTCTGGGAGAAATTACTAAATTATGAAGTGGTGGATAGATTTTGAAATGGTAAAATCCATGTTAATAATGAAAACTGCACTTTGAGAACCCACAAAACTAAGGTTGCTGCTGGAAGAGGTGTTAGTGGGGCCAGCAGGGGGCGCTTACCCTGTGGTCCATGTGGGTCCTAATGCCCCAGTATAGTGACGGGGACACTATACTGTAAACAGGTGCCGTCCTTCGGATGAGACGTAAAACCGAGGTCCTGACTCTCTGTGGTCATTAAAAATCCCAGGGTGTTTCTCGAAAAGAGTAGGGGTGTAACCCCGGAGTCCTGGCCAAATTTCCCATTGGCCCTTACCAATCATGGCCTCCTAATAATCCCCCTCTATGAATTGGCTACATTACTCTGCTCTCCTCCCCACTGATAGCTGATGTGTGGTGAGCGTACTGGCGCACTATGGCTGCCAGGTGGATACTGCACATTGGTGTTGGTGGAGAGGAGTTCCCATTACCTGTAAAGCGCTTTGAGTGGAGTGTCCAGAAAAGCGCTATATAAGTGTAAGCAATTATTATTATTATTATTAAAACCAAAAACGTTTTGAAACAAAAAGAATTCAAAGGAATGTTAAAATGGTGGTGTTCAAAAAGAGTTGGAATCCATGTCAGTGAACTTGTTTATTGGTTCTGTCATTGTTTTGATAAAGAAGTAAAAACAATAGAACACTTCCTGCAATTAAAATGTGCATTAAAAATGAAAATGCCCACACAAAGATGGGTGTGTTCACAGATCATGGAAGGTAAAAAAACCTCTCCTGCAGCTGAATTCATGCTGAAAGATGATTATGTTTCTCTTATACATGTAAGTATTAGAACACTTAGTTCAGCTACTCACATCGCAGGTGCTCCACAGGTCACAGATGCCAGCAAAGGAAACGCTGTCAGGCAAGAAGGGGATGAGGGACACATAGTGAGCCACCAATTCCTACAGGAAGATGTACAAGAGAGATAATAAAGCAATCTCTTAAAAAAAAATCGAAAGAGATTCTTAGATTATTTGGCCATGTACCATATTAATTAAATACAACATTGGCAGGTTGTATTTCTAGAAAAAAAACTGTGGACAGACCATTTAAAATCATAATATCAAGTAATCGAGCCCAAAACAGTATAATCGGATTTTGGTGATACTGCATACAACAGATGTGACCAACTGAGATTACCATTTATACACATTAGTCTGATTTTGTTATACATTAATATCAATAGAACCTAAAAAACCCTAATTGTAATATGAAAGTAACAAAAGCCATCAAGCAATAGCTGTTACAGTAGCACAGAGCCCTTCAGAGAAAAAATACTGGAAACTGTCCAAATGTCCAAGTCTCCTTGTGTGTTTCTCACAGGAGGAGGATGGTGGAGTTACTTTACATTTCTGACCTCTGCAATACATTTGCTTATGAAATGTAAGCTTTATGATCTCATAATGGTATTTTAATTACACTAAAAAGTGTTATCTCCACAAACAAATAGAAATCTGACTCCTAAAGCCCAAACAAGAATATCCAAACACTTACAGATGTCTCCTGCAGGCTATTGGGAAAGGCGTCTAGCAGCTCCTGAGGAGGGTTGAGTGGCTTGATGTATCTCGTAATAAAGACTGTCTTTCCGTTGATATCAATAACAGTAGTGAGGCACTGACGGCTGGGGAACGTGGCAGCAGCTTCTTTCTCGAAGGTGTTTGCTGCCTGCAGAAGCTTCTCTTCTTCCTGGGTATCAAACTGATTGAATTTCAACAGTCAGGGATAAAACAAACACCAGGACAACTTCATGTTTAAAACAATAGAAACATTTAAAACCTCTAAAATCACACTTTCAACTGAATGTTTAATTAAGGCTTCAAATTGCACTGCATCAAAATTAAATGAACACAAATTAAACATTATATAACACTAGCTAGAAGATGTGTTAAACTACACAGGTGTGTACTGCACAACACAGAAGAACATGTTTGTACAAAAAGAGGAACTGTTTCCTAAAAACGACATAAATATCTTGAAACTTTACCTTCATCTCCTTCATCTAAAGAATAGCAGCAAAAATTAAAGAAAAACAAAGCAAACTGAACAAAAACTCTAAAAATGAAAGAAAAATGCATCTATGAAATCAGCAAAATGTTAAGAGCTGGACACTTTAAAATTTGAAATTAAGACTGGCATATGTAAAAAGAAAAAATACTTTATTGTATACTGTAAATGCAGGTTAGTAATAAAACAGAATAAAAACCAGACTATGTCCAAAATGCACCAAGAAACTTTCAAGAAAAATGTATGCAGAATGCAACTTCTGTAGCAAGCATTCAAAGACTGGTAAACACAAAGGCATCACAAAGGGTAAAAAGCCTAGGACACTAGTTTTCAGTAGCTGGAATCCTCCAGGTTTCAGAAATGTAATAATTAGTAATTGCAAAAGTCATGAAAGACAATCAAATAAGCAAACAGTAAGTTCAGCTTAGAAATTGAGAGCCATTTCACAACAATAAATGGAAGAACCTATCCCATCTAGGGACAGGAATTGCCTTGTGACCACACAGTGTAGTAGGGAAGTCAAACAGACAACCAGAATGTACCTTTTCTCTCTGTGTTTCTCCAGGCACCAGCTGGGGCTCAATGGTTATGAAGAGCGTAATGTAAGAGCCCTCACTCAGACACCTCACTGCATCATAACCTCCCTCACTAGCCAGACTGTGCTCCTTGCTGTAACCCAGCAGCACTGGTGGTGTATTAATCTTAAAAGTACCATCGATCTACAGAAAAAATACAAAATACACAAAATACAAAAGTTCAAACTGAATTTACACTTAAAGTGCCAATTTAGAACCTAGATGCTGATCGTCAACAGTTCATGCTCTGTTTTCTACAGCACTTTTAAATTTTTTGTTCCTAAAAGAATGAAAAAATGTTGCAATTCAGATGAATGATTTAGACAAAATTACATTTTGAGCCCAACACACATTAAATTTTCCAGACCAATTGTAATGATTGAAACATTCATCAATTAAAAAAAAATGGTGGGTGCACTGATGTTGAATGTTGTTACTCTATGAACAAGAACTTACAATATAATCATCTGTGTAATCAATGCCTGCTGTGCAATGTCTTTAAAGAATGCTACTTAATCGTCAATTATTACTTCCTTGTTCAGTAGACTGCAAAGTTAAAATACCTACAACCAACATGAAAGTGCAATAGAGGTGCAATGTTGCATCACATCTGCAGTTTATGAACAAATTACAGCTGCAAATTCCAATTTGCTTTTGTTATCATTATATCAAGGGACTTAGAGTTTAATAGATTACCAATTGTTTCATTGCACAGTATATGTATTTAGAATATACATCTTAAATTAGGTGTATTATGTTCAATGTTTACCCGCGACTGTAAATAAATGGTGGTGAAAGGAATCCTGACAGATCCCAGCCAGTGCCTCTCAATCCGAGTATGAATTTCACTTCCTCTTTCTCGGTCATCCTGTAAAAATTACATCAAGATGCTGATGGTCAACGGCACCTGCACTGACATATTCAGTCAAATAAAACAGAAAATATTGTCAACATTTGTCAAGCATAGTTTTACCACCCACCTGTACCACATCATATAGGATTTCGTCGAAGACGTTGATGAAGATATCATCCTTTATTGACTGCAAGCTAGTTGTACTGTAATCCCCATTGGGGGCTCTGAAAGAGACAAACAGAAGTACAGAAGGATGTAGGAACAAGTAATAGGTTTATTCCATGCTGAAAATAGAAGAAAGAAAACACATTTCGGCCGTAGAGACTTCTTCAGGTGTAGAAGCATTTATAGAAGTATAGAAGTATAGCAAAAGCTAGCCAGTTTTACACTACTTGCAGTTTGGAAACAGTCTTGTTCTGGAACATCAGTCAAAACTACAATAAAAATCACCTGGTCCACATAAAGGTTTCTTTTTAATGAACAACAAATGTAACTGAGAGAGTGAAAAATGAAAGTTAGGTTTCGGACGTTTTAACATCAGAATAGCCAAAAAAAAGGCACGGGTTGCTAATGCCGAGGATGGCTGTGATCTTAGTCTGCTGCCGTAGTTACCTGAAGGGTAGTTCTAGTTCCTCATTCCAGTTTGGGTTAGGCCCATCTGCTGCTGTCGTTTGTCGCACAGTGCGCTGAAATGTAACTTCTACAAACGGACGAATCAAAACCTGGTAGAAAATAATATTTTTTTTAAAAAAGGTTATTGTTATTGATTTTTGCTGTGTTCCAAAACCATCACTCAAAGAAAATCATCGTTAATCATTATGATAAAGAAACGGGAAAAAATCAAGTCTGATGTATGTACAGTTTTGTGCAAAAGTTTGAGTACCCCTGACCAAATTACATGTTTTGTTGATTTTCTAAGTGAAAAGAAGTTAACACAACCTCTGCAGCGAACAAAATTAAACTTGACATGTTTCTGCAAATATTAATGCTCAGTTACTATTTACTTGATAAATTTAACAGATTGAAAAAAATAAAACAGTAAATGTGGCATGTGCAAAAGTTTGGGCACCCTTCCAGTTGATCCACTAACGTAATTTTTTGTAAGGTCTCAGAACTAAATTGACTCGTTAGGCCTTAATCTAAGTTAGGTGATGACAATTCCAGAGCTTCATAAGTTCTCTGACTCTTCGAACCTCTCAGGGTGTTGTGCTTACACTCAAGAACCATGGTCTCCTCTAAGCAGATGACTAAGGATCAGAAAATAAAGATAACTGACTCTTACAAAACAGGGGAAGGCTATAAAAAGATATCTAAACGCTTCCTGCTTGCAATTTCCACTGTCCGAAATGTCATTAAGAAATGGAAATTAAGGGGAACTGTTGAAGTCAAGACAAGATCTGGAAAACCAAGAAAAATCTCTAACTGTAGAACTGCTTGTAGACTGGTCAGGAATGCAAAACAAAACCCCCATATCACTGCAAAGGACCTGCAGGAAGGTTTAGCTGGCACAGGCATAGTGTTGCACTGGTCAGTGCAGTTTTGCTTGCACAAACATGATCTACATGGAAGAGTCATCCGAAAGAAACCTTACCTGCGATCTCATCACAAAAGGTAACATCTGAAGTATGCAACACAACACTTACATAAGCCAGAGGCATTTTGGAACCAAGTGCTGTGGTCTGATGAAGTAAAAATTGAATTATTTGGCTATAATCACCAAGGGTACGTTTGGAGAAAAAAGGAGAAGCATTTGAAGAAAAGAACACCTTGCCAACTGTTAAAAATGGTGGTGGATCTATTATGCTTTGGGGTTGTGTGGCAGCCAGTGGCACAGGAAATATTGTGTGGGTAGAGGGAAGAATGGATTCTACTAAGTGTCATCCTGGAAGCTAATGTCCCACAGTCAGTGAAGAAACTGAAGCTGAAAAGAGGTTGGATATAACAACAAGACAATGTTTCAAAAAATACCTCAAAATCAACCATGAAGTACTTTAAGAAATGAAAGATGAAGGTTTTGGAATGGCCTTCACAGACCCAAAATGAATATTATTGAAAATCTGTGGGTAGATCTCAAACACGCACTGCATGCAAGATGACGTAGGAATATTTCTGAACTAGAACCGTTCTGCAAGGAAGAGTGGGAAAAAATTCCTAAAGCAAGAACAGAAAGACTGTTAGCTGGATACAAGAAACATTTAGAAGCTGTGATTTCTGCCAAAGCGGGTGTCACCAAGTACTGACTGATAGAGTGCCCAAACTTTTGCACATGCCACACTTACTGTTTTATTTTTTTCAATCTGTTAAATTTAGCAAATAAATGATAGCTGTGCATCAACATTTACAGAAATATGTCAAGTTTAATTGTGCTCGCTGCAGAGGTTGTGTCAACTTCTTTTCACTTAGAAAATCAACAAAACATGTCATTTGGCCAGGGGTGCCCAAACGTTGGCATACAACTGTATGTAATGAAATAATAACAACAACCTATAATTATGGTCCTTTCCAAATCATGTTTAAAAATTATTATCTTATTTATCTGGATCTAAGTCTGAAACCTAAAGCTGTAAATCAAGGAACTCCAATAAAACTCATCTACAGAAATTAAGAGTACTAGGGGATTTCTTGTGATCCAACAAGCAAAACTAGAGCGGCGCCCTGTAGTTCATGGGAGAGCCGGGGCTGTCATGAACTAACTGTGGTGGGAAGTTATGGTATACAATTGGCTGAGCATCCTCAAACTGTAATCCTAGTCACATGTCTATGAGCTTTAAGAATCAGGAAAGAGGTGTATTTTTCCTCCAGCTGATGCTAACTCTCTCATAAGAACACTTTACAGCTTACTGTACAGTTTACCTGGTTTAGTGGCCAGTCATTATTCTGTACAGGACTCTGTGATGGATTCCCAGTAAACGATTCTGTTAAAGACCGAGCAGATTTTGATGCTACGGATTTACTAAAAAAACAAAGCAAACATTATGAAGGTGTCAGCACAGTTTATAATGAAGGCAAAAGCAAGAGAAATAACTGTAGAGAGGTATGATGATGTACATTAAAACTGAATTCCAATTCCATTCAATAATGAGCATGTTAAAATGGTGGTGCAATTTATTTCATTTTAACATTTTATTGAGACTACTTTTCTTTCTTCCACTGTTTTGTTTATCTGTGGGCAACAATAGCTTGTTGTCTGTAAATGTCATTGCAAATATTTTATTTTCTTAACTGACTCATGAGATTAAGAAAAAAGATTCTTCTCAGTATTACTTACTTTTTCAAATTTGAATAAAATAACTTGATGGCTGTACTGAACATAATTAAATAATGTTTTTTTTCTTCTTTTGGCACCTACCTTGTCTGGGGTTTCCGTATTGGAATATCATAGGCTCTAACAACATTCACAAGAAGTTTAATATCACCATCTGACAAGTTCTGCGCTGTCACCTTCTTTCTCTCCTTTCTCCTGGGCTTAAGAGGACGCTTGGGTTCTGTTAATTTGAAAAGATTGATGCCCAAAACCCTAACAAGAAACCAAACATAAATTAAAAACTAAACCAAACCCTATTTTACATAGTGTACTACTATCAAATACTCATACTTCAGACAAACTCAGAATTTACATATTTGTTTCCTGTTAAAGATGCATGTCCTTTCTATGAGTGTGGAAAAAGACCTTATTCTGCTTATACTGTACTTATGCAAAACATAATTTTCAAATAAGATAATATTAAAAAAACAAAACAATCTAATGTTCCCAAGAAGCTTATATAAAGACAAACACAAGAATACATTCAAACCATTAAAGCTAAATTAGTGAAGCACTAACTACACACAAGACAAACACACTGAAATAAATATAAATGTACTGCGGGGAAAAAAAACAATCATAACATACCCAGATCCCTCAGCACTAAAACATAAGGCAAAGCAAACCAAGAAAATGGAAAATAAAAGAGAATGGACATAAATGAGACAGCACATCAAATACAAAGCACTCTGTAGAATAAAACATTTTAAATGAAACCTGGATTCTTTGTAAAAAAATGTTTTTGTATATATGCACATGCTGACTGAAAAGAGAAACAGCATGTATTTGACTTCTATTCAACAAAAGACAGCAACATCCATCTTTTCTTTCATATGGAAATACCATTTATAAATGGTTTTGTAGCATTTGCAAATAAAGAGAAAATTTAAATGGCGAAAATAAAATTCTACATCCTGATTCACTATGTATTTGAAGAGACATCAATTAAAGTAATATAAAATGAATTTTCAGTCTGTAATCAAAGCTTTAAATAAGTTGCGTTGTTTCCTATATTACATTCAGCGTCTGTGGCATTCGCTTCAATATGTGTACTTGTGCATAGTCTCTCACCATGCAGATGCAGCCATTTAAATGCACGGTAAAACCCTGTACTGCACGGAATTATCTGCAGTTTAGCGCGGTATACCGCGGTATGTGATTAGCTGGCCAAAATAACTGACAGGCGGCACCCATGGTGCATTGGTTGTTAGTGAAATTATTTCTTCATTTAAAATCTCTTTACTGTGCATGTTTAAATCTGCTTAATACTAAACATTAATATGGAATTTTACAACTAAAGGGAAATTTTAGTAGCTGAACATAAAAAGAAGAGGAGCATAACGTGTCTGAAGGTCATAAACGATATTAATTTAGGAATATAAACATATTATGTTAACTGTATACAGTATATATGGTTTGAGTAGTTGTGTTTGTTCGATACTTTTTGGCTTTCTACTTGAAATGCCAACATACACTTCACAAAACTGTAATCTAGTCATGGACACAAAGGAAGACGTGTAGATAAGGTCACTAGTTATCAGGTAACCCTTCAGGATGTGCAACCCTGCCTCAAAACCTGAAAAAGTATAAATATGACAGTATTGCTGAGTTTTAAAAAATGCGATGATAACATTGCCGTTGAGCATACCTACAGTGCCATGCAAAAGTATTTCACCCCTTGCAAAGTTTCCACATTTTATCGCATTCTGAGCTTGTAATCATAACAAACAGGACTGATAAAGATAAAACAAGCTAATAGTATATAAATTGGACTTTTAAAGAAAATTAGATCATTCTATTGGCTATGGCCAATCAGTTCATATACAAAAGAATAGTTTGATTGTTCACAGGAAAAAGTATAATAATCTCTGTCTGTGTATAATCAAATTGGTTAAACTTGAATTCACAGTAAATAAACCTATCTCATTAAGTTTCCATCATAAGACAGATTTTGAATTTCAAGAAACGCACATAATGAAATGACAAATCAACCATGAAGACAAAAAAGACCTTTTGAAACAAGGTTAAAGAAGCCTTAAATTGAATATGATCCCAGGCAAGCTTAGATTAGGGTTGACACTGTATTTTGATAATATCCTGGTCCCTGGTCCCTATACAAAGGTGGCTTCTGATGATAACTGACATGAAAGATGCCTTTACTGAACAGGACTCGTCTTCAATCTCTTTTGAGATGTACAGCAGATATGTTGCAAAACAAAAATTAACATTTTGGTGTAAATGCAAAGGCATTATGTCTGACACAAGCCCAACACAGCACATTATCCAGTCAGTCCATCTCACCTGTCTAGCATAGTGTTGGCATCATCATGTACACAGGAATGTTTCTTATAAGCAGGGACTGTGAAGATTGTTAGGATGGAGGGAAAATGGAGAGTGCAAAGCGCAGATGAATTCATAGGAAAACATACAAGAGATACCCAGTATTCTAAACCGGGGTAATTTCAGCATGGCAATGACCAGATTTATAAGGCTAAAGCCACACTAAGGCTGTCTGTCAAGAAGAGAGTGAATGTCCTTGACTGGCCCAGTCAAGTCCTTACTTGAATTCAATGGAAAATTTATGGTGAGGCATGATGACTGCAGTTCTTCACCTATCCGCAACAAACTTGTCAGAACTTTGAAAAGGATCCTATCCATGACTTGTAATTATTCAAACTGTGATATTGTTGGTAGAGGCTGAATGCTTTTGCAAGGCACTATATATATGTTTGACATTTTACCTGTTACCTGATAACCAATGACACTGTAATATTTTGGTACTGTAATTTTATTTTTACACAAAATCATTTTATAGTACAGTTAAAATTATATATAGACTTTTCCATAATTATTTCCAAAACTATATATTTATATGTATAACTATATATATGTAGATTCAGTATTTGACTTGTGTGGACTTAGACTCAACTTAAATGTTACTGTATGTCTTTTTGTATATGTTTTACTCTTAGATTCCAATTGTCCACGAAAGATCTGGGTCAAGAAAATTATGCATACCTGTATACATTTCACTTATACTGGAAAGGGAATTCCATGACATCTTGGAAAAAGCAAATGCACTGTGCAAAAGGGATCCTATTATGTTAAAAACTTAAAATAAAATACTCTACCTAATTCCTGTGGTAAAATAAGACATTGCAAACACAGTCAACAACTTTCAAAAGATGTCAGGTGTATTAGCTGAAACTAAATTTCTAATGAAGTTGAAAAGATTAAGATTCAATCAGAAATAAAAAATGTATTTCAATTCACAATACTTTCATATTCTGCTATACCAAACATAACGGGCACTAAAATGATACACCACGAAAATGCAGAACCAATCGGGATGGCCTGGGTGCAAAATGGCAAACAAGTATACAAGTAGAAGTATTTGAATCCTTCTTTTTACCCAATACTTGGGACCTCCTCTTCTACAACCAGGTCGGACAAGATAAAATGATGCTTTGCTATCAGAAACCTATTCATCACAGCCTCTCTGACCTAGGAAGGAAAACAATATGAATTACCACTGACACTTACAGAAAACTGGCACCTGCAAATTCGTTTGTCAACCAGGGGAAAACTACTGTCATTATTGAATGATTAAACATACAAAATAAGTTAAAAAGCAAACTGTGTGCATTTTTCCCCTCACAGTTCTTTTATCAAATGGCAAATAATAGGATTATTATAGTGGTACACAGATTTAAAATACAGATGATAAGTGCAGACATATTAATAAGTTAGATATTTTACATGAATTGTGTAACAGAAACAAGTGTTTTGTAACCCAGAAATAACAGTACAAATCACCGTCTTAAAAACTTAATAGGATGCACTTCTCTCACCTTTTGCAGATATTTGGCAACCAGTGCTCTGTGAGCATCCAAATGATCCTTCATATCAATGACCTCTCCCTCACGCAGTCTTTTTTCATATTCCTGAATGGAAAGCAAAAAGTTTTCTATCATAGAAATTCTACACAAATGGTACTAAGAATCTTCACTTAGGATACTGACGTTTCTATTTTTTTCGCTTAAAGACTTTTCAGCCTCTTCATAAGAAAATATTTTCAACTGCAATTTTAATTTTTAACACTTTACTCTTAGGTTGAAGCATGTAGTTAAAATGTTAGAGCTATATTTAAAAAAAGAAGTGCCCACTATTATTATATTCGGGGACTTATCGACATGTCCAACGGGACTAACAATACATTATTGAACTGAAGCTTTTGGCATTTTAACAAATAATATCTCACAATATTAATATATTCTCACAATATAATATATAAGAGGTTGAAGCTAGCAGCCATATCACCCTGCAACTCACAACTGGCAACCTACTGAAGCTAAGCAGGTGGGAGCCTGGTCAGTACCTGGATGGGAGACCTCCTGGGAAAATCTAAGGTTGCTGCTGGAAGAGGTGTTAGTGGGGCCAGCAGGGGGCGCTCACCCTGCAGTCCATGTGGGTCCTAATGCCCCAGTATAGTGACGGGGACACTATACTGTAAAACAGGCGCCATCCTTCGGATGAGACGTAAAACCGAGGTCCTGACTCTGTTGTCATTAAAAATCCCAGGGTGTTTCTCGAAAAGAGTAGGGGTGTAACCCCGGCTTCCTGGCCAAATTTCCCATTGGCCCTTACCAATCATGGCCTCCTAATAATCCCCATCTATGAATTGGATTCATTACTCTGCTCTCCTCCCCACTGATAGCTAATGTGTGTTGAGCGTTCTGGCGCACTATGGCTGCCGTCGCATCATCCAGGTGGATGCTGCACATTGGTGGTGGTGGAGGGGAGTCCCCATTACCTGTAAAGCGCTTTGAGTGGAGTGTCCAGAAAAGCGCTATATAAGTGTAAGCAATTATTATTATTATTATTTAGGTGCTATATAGAAAATAAAAACAAAAATAGCTGAAACAAATCTAACCTGGAACACCTTATCCGTGATCTCCCTGTCCAATGCAGGTACTTTCTTATAGTTACGAAACTCTGTCACTTCCTGGTTCCTCAGCATCAAAAGCCTGAACCTCTTGGATCTCTGAAACTCCTCTTCAGAGATGAAGTTAAAATCCTCCTGCAGCTGCTCCAGTCGGAAGAAGTCTGGCACGTGGACCTCCCCACTGCTGGCAATCTAATCCCACACAATCACACAATTTTACCACTGTGACAATAGTAGGGATGCAACAACAGTAGTGAGATTACAATACAACTATGATACTGAAAGAAAGAATAACATTCTTACTGATTAATCTGTATGGTTTGATAAGTCATGTCAAGGAGCTGCTTAATGAAAATACCTACAGAAACGTAACTAAAGAAATTGAAGAGTTAGAATAATTACATTTAAAATTAGTGTTTAGAACTACCTTGCAAAATCTCTTAAAATGTTCTGTTGTCTGTGAGTTTTAGAACAATATTTTTTGTTTGTAAATTTCACTTGCTCAACATTTCCAGAAAGCTGAAACAAAATAATTTGCAGGAATTATATTTACGCGTGACCAACACTATTTTTCTTAATAAAATATCTTCCAAAACCACTTCTACATTACAACAAATCAAATACACTTTTTCTAACAGATTATTTATATATTTTTTAAATCTCTACAAAAATTTATACTTTTTTTCCCATGTAATACTTGACCCTGAGAGTTTATGAAGGTCTGGCAGCAGACAGATAGCATGCCTTTAACTTCATTTCACTGACACTGCAGGTACATGGGTAGATAACAGGATAAATCTTAATCTCTTACAGTTAGAAGCTGCATAAGTGCAGCATTACTGGGGTCATTTGGATCCAGACGGGACTCAGCTGCCCATTTTGCCAGCTTCTTCATGTCACTTAATCCAGAGGCTCCAATACATGCAATAGCATCAAGCTGCTTCAGTGCACTTCAAAGAGAAAAAACACCATTTGAACCCAATGCATTTTGTCATAAACATTGTCTTTTGTAATGCATTCATGTTAAAGGAAAAGGATACTTTAAAGGATAAAGTACACTTTATTCTACAAATGTCTTTTTTCTCTCAGTGCAGTTCAATTTCGGGGCAAGAATAAAGAATCAGTTTATGAAGATTACTGAATTTCATTTAATCTGCTAAAACAGCTTAATTAAGTACAACATCTGTCAAACAATTTTCAAATAGTACTTCATATTTGGTATGTACACGTAGTTCTGTAATGTTTTACACTGTCTGGTCCCACCATCACTTCAATTACACTTACCATTATTGTCTATATTAAGGCTACACAAATATGTGCTTTCTAGTCTTCTAATGTAAATAACAGTAATTGACTGAAAAAAATATACGGCGGTAAGTGAAGTGCACTGGTGAATTATTCACAAATTCACTTCAGGGGTTCAGAAGACTTTCAGTTTTCAATATAGTCCTCTGGCACATTCATAAGTTTGCAATGAGCTGTACAACGATAATGATGGCCCCCTAATAAAATTCAATTGACTAATCCCTAAGACCCTTTTTGTCATCATTAAGGTTCTAACCTTCTTTGGACCAAAAGTGAAATTGGCACAGTGCAAATTCCAGACTGTAAGGTCAGTGGGCGAACCACACTCCACAATGCACTGCACACTAACCCTAGCTCTGGTCATGATGCAGAATAACAATGGCTGTGAGAACCTCTCAACACTGTAATAGACCTAACTTCAATATTGTTCTCCATAGTGCGTAGCATGCTGTATCTGTTACTGTTTAAAGGGTCATATGGAAGCAGTTGACAAGAACTACTTGTTACTGTACTTAAATATCTCACAATGTATTACACACATGCACTGTTAGAAACAACAACATTCCCTCTATTTATTGACTGATTCTCATATATATCATACTTTGTCAGCTAGCACATAGATACCTGTGTACTCCCCCAGTCTGCTGGGCTACAGGGGGGACCAGAGGAACACTGTTCTCTCCCACAGCCCAAGAAACACTGCAGGACAATCTACCAGAGGTCAACAAGATCAGCTTGTTACTGCCATCAGCCTCAAATGAAAAGGGCACATCTGGAATACAAGAGAATTATGGATATTCTTAAAATTAGGAGAAACATACCTATTTTTTGTTCTTGATAAACATATGGTGTATAATGTAGTACCATTGAATTTATTTATGCAATATTATACTGTGACATATTAAAAGCATAATCCAGAACTATGATCATTTCAATCCAGACCAAGCATATATAGCTATGTAATATTCAATAAACCCTTATTCTACAGCAATTACACTTTTGTGGTATTATAACTCCTTTAGTCAATATTTATTCACAAATATGTCTTTGTAAAAACATTTGGTAATACAAAGCGTTTTATTTTGTCATGACAATGTACATTTTTTTTTATTTATTCAGATAAATTTGCTTCCTTATGATAATAAGAATTCCAGTTTTCTGTGGTTTAATCTGAGAGAATGATTAAAACTTACCACTGCCTACCCCCTCATGGTCAAACATAACACGCTGGTTACTGCTGAACTCCAGTTCTTCAGAGGGGGCACTCCCTGTGAGAACTGTTGTCTCTGGGACAGGAACAAACACTTCTGCTAGCAAGGTATGGGAGGATCCCACTGTCTCAAAAATCTGAAAAAGGTTAAAACAGTTCATTCTATTTAAAATAGAAAGTTTTACCAAAAATCCCTTTGACTAAACACATATAGATATTATTACTGTATGTTTTCAAACAATGCAAGCAATACCTGTACGAATTGATTAATATAGTGATTTACATTTGTTATAGCCAACCTTAAGTATTGAATTTTAGAACCACTGCACAGCGATCAAATTGCAGTGTCCATCCTTTGCTGTCTGTTGCTGCCATATTCATCTGTCTTTGTTCTAGTGTCTTTTCTGTCTCTCCATGCTTTCTCAGAAGTATCTGAACCATCTTTCTGTCTCTCCACACTGTCTTAGGAAACACTGCTATTCTTCCTCAATGCTGGGGCGCAGACTCTGAGATCTCGTTTTAGACTGCTCTTTCTGCATCTTTGTTTGAGTTTATAAACTCTCTTTATATCTGTATATGTTTCTCTTCAATGTTTCTGGAATTACAAAATAACCTGTGTTTAAAACAAATCAAGAGAAAATATATAATATTTGAGCTTTTCGAAATCTCCTCTACAGAGTTTAAACAAAAGGCACACAATAAATAATACAGGAAAGAAAAACTGAATGTAACCATACATTATACCCATATGTGAATCTCAAAAAGATTGTTGTATTGGCTGTCAACAAGCAAACAAGCAAAAAAGGACATTTTATTTATGCCACCGTGAAAATGGCTTTTCAAATGACATGCTAGTCATTTCTATGTTTTTATGTACTGTATACATATAAAAATGGATTAAGAAAAGCTTTAAAGAAAATCTCTTTGCATTTTAACAGTTTTATCCATGAGTACTTTTTTTATCCAAGACATTAGATAGACCCTTTAATTCACTGCAGGTAAATTTGTTCTAATGTGTATTAAAAGTAAATAAAACAATTAGACAGGCAAAGATCAACAACTACAAATAAAGTTTTCATTTAGTTTTTTGGATGAAACAAGTTAAAAATAGTTCCAGTAGGTAGCTGCGTCAGAATGCATAGGCTGAAAGGAACAGGTAAAGGCTTATTCCATGCTGAAAAGAAAAGAAAAGAGACAACATTTTGGCTGTGGAGCCTTCTTCAAGTGTGGAGGCTCCACAGCTAAAACATTGTGTCTCTTTTCTTCTCCTTTCAGCACGGGATACACCTTTATCTGTTCCTTTGCAAGTTAAAAATATATCCATAACATTATATGTAGCCCCATTCAAATAAAACAAGGACATGCATTTAAATTCGAGAATAGGAGGTACTTATTTAGAGACGTGTGGGAGAATGGAACAAGCTACATAGACACGTTGTTGAAAATAATATCCTTATTTAGGCCTCCTTTCATTTGTAACCCTTCTTACTTCTTAATGTTATGTATATGTTAGGTCACTAATCAATGCTATGTGTAATAGTTGAAATTAAAGAACACCGAACTTAATCAGATTGTATGCTTCAGTGTAACTGGTGCCTAAAATTAACCTAAGTGAATTTTGATGTGCTTTTTGATATTTATATGTTAATTACACCATGCTTTAGTTTCAAATAAGAATTAGTTTTTATGTGTTTATTACTTTAATAACACAAAATTAAAACATTAATTTTGAGTTCAAATAAACAAGTTTCAATCAAAGCTCTTAAACTAATACTATTCCCTCCATAGTCTGATTCAGTTGTTTACTTTTTTCGTTATTCCATGCCTGTGAAGTTTGGAACTTTAATAATATCAAAGCTGTTACCTACCTGCAGCTTGACACTTTCTGGCCAATTGACTATTTTCAAATTAAAGATCTGCCCAAAGTGAACTCTGAAATCAGAGTTTAATGCACGGCTTGCAGTCCTAGAAACTTCCTTATTGTTGTAAAGAACTTTTGCAAATACAGAACGTTTAAGGACATCTTCCCTTCTTGATACTTCTCCCCTAGAAAGTAAAAAAAGGTTTCCATGTGAACACAACCAGTTTCAAAATACACAGACGTTATAGATGAAGTACTAGCCTGCAATATCCAAAGAAAACATGCAACTGACAAACAAGAGGTTCATAAAAAGCTTTGACAAAGAACACCAGTTATACACAAAATTCAGATCAAGCTAAAACATAACCTCATCCAGATGTAATGCACCACCACTATCCATGTTCTGCCAATTCATTGTCAGCTGTTTAGTACAGTTCCCAGATAACCTCTTGACTTCATTAACCACAACTGGTACTTGTGAAATTAATAAAGTGAAACAATTTTCAGGCTTCCATGTTTATTAACCCACAAGAATACAAAAGCTTTTGACTGTCTCTCTGCTGAGCAGTAGTCTGAAATACGAGTGGTCACCTTGGGCACTGCTCATTGGGTGTGATACTGCCAGTATTGCTCAGCTCAGGGAGGAGGACAGACTCCCCTGGTTTCCTGCGGATGTTGGCTGCTTTCTCCCGGACCTGCTGCTCCAGTGCCTCTTCATCAAGTGGCTCAGGAAGCGTTGGTTTTAGTGGCTCTTCCCCCATCTCTATGTCACTCTGCCCAGGACCCTCATCTTCCCCTTCATCTTGTAGCTGCTGTTTTTTCTTCTTTTTCTTTCTCGCCTTTTGGACAAGCAGAATAAAGCATGAAGATAAATGTGGTTCTCTCAGTCCCATATTGTGCATTTTTGGTCCTCAATCTGTTTGACATGCATTCAGCTTTAGACTGTAGTTGAAGACAAGCTAATGTTAGCATTTTCTTGACAACAAAATGATTAATGATAATCAATGAACTCACACATTTTTAAAAAGCAATGGCATTTTTATCTAATCACATTGAGACCTTCAAAAGCAATTATCATGAAATCAAATTGGAGACAACAGCGCATTTATATAACTCATAATATCTATACAAATGTCTAAAATAAACATGCTTTACCATAAAGTTGCTTATTAAGAGTCATTATCTGGCGCCTATCCTAAAAGCACAGAGTACAAGGCAGAGCAACAAGAAGGAGTGGTCACTAGTCCATTGCAGGACACAAAGAAGAAAGCACAATTCAGAGATGCCAGTGCATCTTTGGAAGAGGAGAGGAAACTACAGTATCCAAAAACAGGATTCTTCCAGGAAAAACAGGAAGAACATGCACCCTCCACCCAGAATGTGCTACAATAACAAATAATGTCCACAATATGAGGCTATTAATTCCCAAATTAAGACAATATAATACCAAATGTGTTAATTTAGAAAATTAAAGTCATTCAAAAAAAATTAAAAGCATTTTCTCTTTATAATGATAACCTACTTGCTTCTTTTTCCAGGCTTTCCACTCCTCATATTTTGTTTTATATTCAGAGAGCTTCTTCAGATATTCCTCCTCAAACTCATCCTTGAGCTCACAGATCTCTGCCTGAATTTCAGATTCATAAGATTGCTCATCTGCCACCCGGTCCACTTCCTCCCTCAAATACAAATCGTTTAAGTGAATTTAAAGGCTTTGCAGTCAAACCAATATCAATAGCACAGTTTTTAGTCCTCTTACATTTTAGAAAGGTCTGAGATACCACGACCACCATCACCACCACAGACAGACAAAATACTATGAATGTTTTAAAAGAGTCATGATATAAAGTAGCCATTCATTCAAGCATTTAAAGTCACATTATAAGTCAGCACACTATTTTGAAAATTATATAGCTCTAATGTGCAAGAGTTTGAAATATCACCCATTAAACATTGTATTGCTGATAATTACACATTTTCCATCAACAAATTTGAGAATGCTAAGCTACAATGTAAACACCAAAAAAGAAGCATATGCAATACTTGAACACTACAGAGTCACTTTCAATTGGAACCTGGTGATGTCAGAAGGACCCAAATCCATATTGGACAGAGATCTGTGGTGTGAATAGAAACACAGTATTGATATTGATACTTTTATAACATACCTTCTGAGGTAGAGCTTGAGTGGTGTATTAGTGAATTTCTGAAACTCTCTCAGGGATTTTATTTCCTTCCAGACCTTCACAATGTTTTTCAATAAGGATCGGTCCTTTTCTTGCTCCATGTCACGCAATTTGCGAGTGTGCCTGTAAAACAAAAATAAATCTAAATAAAATGATATATGAGGAAAAATACCTTATTTGGCCCTTTTCTTAAAAATGAATACTTTCATTACATCATATATTAATAACTGATGATACATTAATGAAAAAATGTAAGAACTATTTTCATTCAAAACCTTCAAGAATGGAAGCTTTAAGAGATATGACATAATGTCGACAGTTTGTATATAGTCAAACAACACTAAAAACTAATGGTTTTCAAGGACTTGAAAATATCACTTTATACTTAAAATACAGCTAAAAATAATTAATCAATGCCAAGGTCTAAAAGATTCACCTGATCTCGCTTTTATACTCTAGTATCCTGTGCTGTGTAACAGGATCAAGGTCTTGTCCCCTGTGTTGTTCTGCGATATTGCGTACAGCATTCCTCAAAGCTCGTAGCTAAAGAATAAAAATAAATTACATGAATTCAACATGTCATAACATTACTTATAATGGTTTGTGAAAACAACATCATAGAATGAAGGATTTTGGTATGCACAGAACTGGGGATCGGGGGAAACACATTCCCATAGGCAAAAACTATACTTTGATGACACTGCATTCCACGCCCTTCCAAGCAAGCAAGCCCACATAGACATCAGTAGTCATCATACAGAGCTCACGACTTGCCCCATGATGTGTACTGTGGCTGTCAACAGGAACATGTTCTCCACTGTTCCACTTACCTTTACAAATCTCCTTGCTCCACTGTACACATTTCAAAAGAGTTCTACTTGAACAGCTAATTTCATAAAGTGATTAATAGATATTTCGGCTTTCTGAAACGCCATAAATAACAAATTAATCTACTGAAATAATTCCATAACAGAAATATTAAATACCAAATGTTATACAAAAAGATAATCAAAATATTCTGCAACTCATTAGAATTTCAAAGGAATGATCTCCACATGTTGACCATCTGTGAGAAGACCGCATGCATCATAATCTTCACAATCACTGCTCTTTCATCATAATGGGCATGATTAACAATCTTGATTAAATACCATTGTATTATTAAAACACACAGCTTAAAGCTCTATAGCGAAATGAATCTGCGTGAACTATTCTAACCATTATTAAAACAAACAGAAAAGACCCCGAGAAGCAAGACCAACTTGCTGAGAGATAAAGGTTTAACATGTCTATGTAAGAAGAACACAGACCTTGTCAGTGAGAAGGCCAGTCAGATTCTTCTGCTGCCATGTCAAGTGCTGGTCATACATTTGGGCCAATCTGGCAGCCAGCACATGCTCTCGGCTGAAGAGGGGATGGTGAGTGAAAATTAAGCCAGAGACGTCAATATCCAGCTGAAAGTCCCCTTGAGGATCTCCTGCCCCTGGGATGTACCGGCTCGTGTACTTGGACTTTGCTGGCTTTAAGGTAAACACACCAAAGTCTGGAATTACTACAACGACAATCAATCTTTCAGTTGAAGGAAATCTTTCACTCTACTTCGCACTTATTCTGCAGGAGAAAAAGGAGACATTTAAAAAGCAGAATTCCAATTTCTAGGTAATGATTGTGAGTAAACTGTATTTGATCAAATAGTATGTTAGAAAACACATAAAATACTTATAGTTTTTTTTTTACTCTTAATAACAAGATTTCATCCAAATATAAAAATGGATTACAGCAAAATAAATGTCTGAGGACTGAAAAACAGATTTTAACAGACAAATTATGCCATTTAAATGCAAAACAATCATTCTTTGCTGGGAAAATTAAAAAATATATAATTAGGTTTAGCCTTCTTAAGTCTCTTTATTTTGACATTTCAGAATTTAATCAAAATTAAAGCAACAGCATTGTCTAACTTTAAAAAAAATGGCAGAAACGTTTGGCTATGTTTCTCCAAGATGCTCATCAAACTTTGTTTAAAATGAAACCTTTCAATCTTGAAAGTAAACAAAATAAATTTAAATTAACATCAGTCCCTTGTTTTATTTCTGCACATGTGTATGCAGCAAAATCAAGCTCTGTTGGTTACAAAAAGAATGTCTTAAAAAAAAGAAATATACTGAAGATTAAAAGACTCTACTATGAAAATACATTTCACCAATAAAAAGAGTACGCAAGTTATAATTGATGTACCCATTTCAAACACAGAAGGAACAAATTCACACACGGCTGTAAACTAGAATTCAGTTTAAGTAAAATTCACAGAGTAGGTCCGATTACCTAAAATATTATAACTGTTATAACTTCACACAGAAATATAACCTGTTATAACTAGATATAGCAGCAAGCCCAATATTAACCAAACTCTAATTGTTTCTTCGTAGAATTTAGTTCTTCCAGATTCACTGTCAGAACATAAAGAACCAATTTAGCTCTAAAGCAAAAAACAAAAATGCAGCCAGTTAATGTTTTTAATCTAGCCCTCTACTTACCATCAAAATACATTTGGTTTTATGTCATGGTAACGTAATGGAATACATTTTGTGAATGTTTTTTCTCTTATGAAGATATTTAATAATAAGGCCAGGTTTAATGCATTTCTCATTTTAGGTCTACATACCGTACACTATAAATGAACTGCAGTTCCATTTTTTGCAAACCATTTTTTTTGCATAGTATTTTTTTTAAATACTCAATCACTTTTTAATGATTTCAATGATTAAAGGCTATTGATTGGTCAAATGATCTACCGCAACCATAACATTCCCTTAAGTAGCCATGCTAGTAAACAATAAAAAGTTCTCATAGAAATTCCCCAAGTCAACCTCCTCTGCTACTTCAAAATCAGAAAAGGCCACAGTGAAATCGCAGACAGTAAAGGTTGTTGCAACTGGAGGATCCCCATAGCAAATATATTAAAAAGCCATACCTTCCTGTACAGTGTTTCAAGAGCTGGATCTAGATCTTCTTCTAGAGAAAATACTGGAGGCCTTGTGGAGGATTCCTTGATGGGGTTTGGCAAAGCTATTATTCTCCCATCATCTCCAAACCACTTTTTACCCTGAAAGGATAAAACCTTGAATCTAAAAATAAATCACTGGATAAAAAAACTTTGTAAGTCTTATGACAGAACTCTCTCAACACGTTCACCGTTTCATACCCAACAAAGCCCGGATTTTGGATTTCTTTGTGCACTATTGGTTTATTCTCAGTCCTAAAGCTCAGTACTGTTTTTAACACTTTATGTTTATGTGATTAACACAGAATCAAAATATAATCGAGGGAGATTCAAAACGAGACCTAATAAAATTTAAGAAAACAAATTTATTCGAGTTCTGCCTATTAGTGTTATAAAAATACTAACACTAAAAAGCACTTTCTATCCATTAAGATTGGTGAGCTCAGGTATTAAGAAGGAAACAAAAAAAAATTCTTATGATTCAGTGACTTGAGGAAATATCATCCAAACAGTTACACCCTTAGTCATTACACAAGTTAAACAGTTTAAATGTCTTCATTAGTAGCATTCTGTGAGCATGGTAAAGTCACATTTTTGAGATGCCATATGATAAAAAATAAACACTGAAAACATGTTTCAGAAACAAAGATTAATTTCAGACAGTAGCAAGAAGAAAATGCCAGATTTTTTTAGCAAAGGATAAGATAGATAAGTTCACTTTATTGGCCAAATACAATTTGTCTTTTCGCATACCCCAACTTGCTCTCCATGAGACACACAGACAGGGAAAGAAGCTTGGGGTCAGAGCACAGGGTCAGACATTTATATGGCGCCCCTGGAGCAGCTGGGGTTAAGGGCCTTGCTCAGGGGCCCAATGGAGTAGAATTCCTCTGCCAGCTGCAGGATACGAACCGGCAACCTTCCAGCCACAGGAGCAGATCCTTAGCCCCAGAACCACCGCACTGCCCAATAACATTAGTAATTAAGCATGATGAAACAGTATGTGGCACAGCTCAGAGAAGCAAAGGTAAAGAAATGTATAAGAAAATAATTGATCGAGTTAGCTCTGCACAGTCAGTTATGTGCAATTCTCGTCTCCATTTCTAATTTAATTATAGTATTAATACTGTATATCACAATACATATGTCAAAATGTTGTCTTATGTGAATGTGAATCTTAGTGTTGTAATATTCCTTTAACCCTAGGCAGTAAGTGGCAAATGGAAAAAAAAAAACAAAGATACCTCCTCCTGCTGCAATATTCTGTTCTCCAGGATGTTCTCGTTGGTCACGGAAACCTGAGGTCTCTCTCCCACATACAGCCCTTCGTCCTCCAGATAGCGAGGCTTCATGTTCTCAGACATCTTGGTAGAGGCTGGCACTGATGAAGATATTCAAATGATCAATTACCAGTTGTCAGATAATTGAATCCCCACTCTTGGCCACCTTATTACTGTTTTTCGACAAATGGTCAAATTCAAATTCCAGAAACATCAAACAAATTTATTAATGATGACTTAGAATATGTTTACACAAATTTAACCCTGCACTAAATTGAAATGTTTTGAATTTTTAAATAAAAGATAGAATTACACACTCAATTAGATAAAAATTAACAATGTTATTGTACTCCGACCTAACTTAATATATATTTACAGTGCCTTGCGAAAGTATTCGGCCCCCTTGAACTTTTCAACCTTTTGCAACATTTCAGGCTTCAAACATAAAGATATA